CTTCGTGGGCGGGGGCGCCGCCCGCGCGGCTCCCGCGCCGGCCCGGCGGAGGGCCCAGCCCGTGGACATCGTGCCGGGCAGGCGTCACGGCAGAGCCATCGTCGGTGGCTCAAAGATGGGCTTCTCTGAGGGATGGGGTCCTGAGGGTAGGAATCACCACCCACCAAACCACCCCAACCCAACCCGAAGCCTCAAATTTACTGTCGATTTCCAGTGGGGGGGGGGGTCGGGGAACATCGAAAAAACGCGTGGAACCCTTACCCCCCCAACCCGAAATTCGGGTCTTCGGGTTGGGTTGGGGTGGTCTGGTAGGTAGTCAAGGAAGGGATCCGAAGTTGGGTTTACGTTGTTTGAGGCACCTCGTGCTCAGGGCCCTCTTCCGCAGGACCCCATCTCTGCATCACCGGTATCCCTTGTCTCTCATAGAGAGGGCACCCGCGCGAGTCTTGTGCAGAGACCTTGTGCGGGGCACTCTGCGCCTTGTTGTGTGGGTTTCTTGTGGATGCCCTTGGGACTGGATCCGCGCGCGCGGGCTTCTGCAGGAGAAAGAGGAGGCCCAGTTAATAAGCACGATAGATACGGATCCTTTGCACAAGACCCCTTGCACGCCTTGTGCGCTGGCACACTCCGCTCTGGCACCTTTTCTAGTAAATATCGTAGAATGTTCTCAGAGGATCCTGGAGGTTTTCCAGCCTTGGGGTGCACTGCAGCGAATGTGCCTCGACCAGGGTTGCCCGGATCGACCCAAAAGGACGCCGGAGAGTGAAGTTGTGGCCCGAAAACCATCACGGGATAGGCTTAAGGGGAGGACGCAGTGACCCCCAATCGCCCATTGATGGTCGATACGGGTTTGGCAGCCCACCCCGCCCAGGACCGTGCGCATTCGTCATGGCGGAACTGTCGCCAATGTCAATCGACGTTTTGTCACCGATTCCAGCTCGATGTTGTCCCCTGAGCTGGTCTCCCTTTTCGTTGCCCCTCAAGGCGGGGGGGGCCGTGCATCATCGTGATCTCCGACAGCACGGGGGATACCGCGAAGTTCCTGTTCTCCAGGGCGCTGGAGACTTACGATTCGGCGCAGCGGCCAGGAGTCACGCTCTACAGCTACGTGACCAAGCCGATGGAGCTGGCAGAGATTCTCGCGATGGAGACGTCCCACGGATACTCCGAGCTTTATGTTGTCGCCACTCTCGTTGAGCCCAGCATGATACGTTGGATTGAGAAATTGAGCGTCGACATGGGCATCCAGAACCTGAACTTGATGAAGCCTATGCTTGACGAGTTCAATCTGTTCCTGGGCTCAAAGGCGGAGGGAAAGGCGGGAGCAACGGATAGCAGCAGCAGCATCGTCATGCAACAGCTCGACGACCTGGTCAGCAAAGAGTTCCTCGGGATGGTAGATGCTGCGAACTTTGTGAGGTCCCGAAGCGACGCACGCCGTCCAGCAGACTGGCACGAGGCAGACATCATATTGGTTGGGGTGTCGCGCTGCGGTAAGACCAGCGTCGCAAGCTTCCTCGCGCAGCGGGGAAAGAAAACGGCTTGCGTGAGGATCGGGGCGGGCAAGCCCATGCCCGAGGGCTTGGGGACCGCCGACCCCTCCAAGGTCGTGCTCGTCACGCGGAGCGCGGACCACATCCTGAGGCGCCGAAAAAAAAGGGTGTCCCTGTGGATGTCCAAGTCGATCAGTCCGACCCTGCCGCACTCCCTGGACAACTACGCCACCCCAGACAAGGTCCACCAGGATCTCAGGATGCAATTCCTGGGAGGTTGCATTCAGCATCGGCGCTGGCATATCCGTGGTCAAAGACTGCCCTAGTCCGGCATAGTCAAGCTTAATCTAGCTTTGTCCCACTTGATCCGGCTAAACTCCGCTTAAGTCGGCTTCATCGGGCTTGCGTAATCCCCGGCTGAATGCGGCCTAATCAGGATTAGAGGCCCCTTACTTGGGCTTAGTAGCCCTACGTCGTTCCTACGAAGATCTGCCAGAACTTGGCGCCTACAGGATCTGGAGGTCTTCAGCCAGCTGGCGGGGAGCCACCCCGAGTGGATGGGCCCGCTGGACTGCACCTACGCCTGCGAGGACCAGACGGCGCCGTTCATCCCCTCAGATCCGGCGTGTCGAAGAGCTGCCACATCGCAAAACAGAACGGCCCGAGCCCTAGACCTCATCCCCCTGCGCCACTCTCGATTCGATCCGTGAGGGCCCGGCGGCCGACACCGGGCGAACGCGCCCGGCTCGAAGAGCTGGAGACGCCCGGATCTCGGAGGGGACGCCTGCGAGGACGAGACGGCCTCGCTCATCTTGGACGCGCTGGCCAAGCGCGCGGCCCTCCCGAGTGGCACCGCCGCGCCCGCGGAGGACCCCGCGCCGTCGCTGCCCCTCCTCTCGCTGGTGCCCGCCGCCCTCGCCCTGGGCTTCGTCCTGGGCGAGGCGGGGAAGGCGCTGGGCGAGGGCCGCCTGGCGGCCGCCGCGCGGCCGCCGTGGGGCGGCCGCGGGGGCTCGCTGCTCGCGGGGGTCAGGACCTCGGATCGCGGCCCTCCCTCCTCCTTCCCCTCCTCCTCCTCCTCCTCCTCCTCCTTCCCCTCCTCCTCCTCCCCCATCCCGCTCCTCCTTCCCCTCCTCCTCCTCCTCCTCCTCCTCCTCCTCCTCCTCTTCCTCCTCTTCCTCCTCCTCTTCCTCCTCTTCCTCCCCTTGCTAGCAGGGCAGCAGGCCAGCAACCTTAGTCAGGGTGCCTCTCACCTCGAAGGGCAACTCGCTCATCACTCTGGCAGGGTCGACCCCCTCGCGGCCCCTGGCCCCAGCAGCACAATGGGTTCGTGGCCTGACTTGGGTCCTCCAGTTTTAGGGCTGTCCCTAAACGTGTGGGTGATCTCGTCTGAGGCATCTGCTAGCGCATCCTGCATCTCATGTTTCTGGCCCTCCTGACTTGGGCCCCCTCCCAAAGGATTAGGGGTAGTCATGTTTACCATCGGATGTGAATGCAGACGCTGCGATCCGGGCGTCTCCATTGTTTCGAGGCGGGCGTTGTCACATTGTCGCCCGGTCTAGGGGTCCCGGGCCCCTCACAGACCGATTTGGCTCGAAAAACGGCGCAGGAACACAGGGTCCGGGGCTCGGGCCGTGATTTTTCCCAGATGTTGCAATTTTCGCCATGTCGGAGCTCAGGGGGCAGAGGATCGCCGTTCTGCTGCCAAGGCCATCAGCGGATCGACATTGGCCCGGTTCTCGGAAGGGCGTCGTGGCCGCAACTTCTGCGGGCCCGTGCTCGCCAGGTCTGGTCCTGGGTCGTGTGCTTCGGAGAGGACGTTTTGCTGAAGGGAGTTCTGTCCACCCCCGGAGGACCGCGTCGGGCAGCCGCCTGCGTGTACCGGGCGCCAGGGTCGCGGCGCAGCGGCAGGACTCGGCGTGAAGCCAGAGGGTCTTTCGTCGGCGAGCCCAGGGGGGTGAGAAGGGGCGGGCCTTCTCAGATGGCTCGGAAGTCCTCCCCCCTTCTGAGAAGTCTCCTGGCACGAGGGACTGCTCGGAAAGTGCGAGGGCTCCTGAGGAGTCCCGCCGCCTTCTGAGCGAGCCTCCTCGTTCTTGCTCCCCCCTCCCTCGCTCGCCGCCGAGTCCTGGGAGGGACCAGGTCACGCACGAAGGCTTTGTTGCGGTCTTCGGGCTCGGGGCCCCGGCTCGGGATGGTCTTCGGGCTGGTCCCGGGGAGGAGGCCCTGGGGCCCGGGGCCCGTGTCCCTCAGGGCCCGCGTCGTGGGCGCCAGAAGGTCACTAAGTCAAACCAAACGCCCAGTCCCAAAAACGCGAGGGCCAAGGCAAAATGCAGGTGCCTCGAGACTTCGGGGAGGGAGAGTTTGGGGTATGTAGGGTTTTGCCATGGCGACGACGACGAACGCAAGACATATCCCGAAGTCTTTGGCCGATCTTCGAATCCTCGGTGAATCCGCGATTTTGGGATTGGGGGTGTGTTTTTTCGTGGTCAGAAGGATCTGCACGTCCGCAGCCAGGAGGCGGCGGCCATGCGCAGCGAGGTCGGGGCCCTGGCCCAGAGGGGGGCCGAGGGCGGCGCGGGCAAGTGCGTGTACCTCCTCTCCGACGACTCGGGGGAGGCGGCGCAGCTGCTCCTGTCCAGGCTGCTGGTGCAGTACGTGGAGCTCGAGTCTCCCAGCGTGGTGGTCTTTACGCAGCTGGACTCCGTCTCGAGGGTGAGGAGCATCGTGGCGCAGGCCCAGAGCAGCCAGCAGGACGTGTTCGTCCTGGCGACGCTTCGGCAGCGCTCCCTCTCGGATGCCCTCGCGGAGTTCGGGGGCGAGATGGGCGTGCGAACGCACAATGCGATGGCAGGGCTGCAGCGAGTGATGACACTGGCGAGCAGCAGCGTTGCCACAGAAGAGCTAGTCTTCATGGACCAGCTGATCTTCGATGGCAGCACTGACAGCCTCCCAGCTGATGGCTCGACAAGCGGCATCAAGAAGGCGCAGGCTGTGGACTCCGACTTTTTCCTGATGGCGGAGGCCGTGCAGTTCGCGCAGCAGCACATCTCCGGCGTCAACTCCCGGGAGTGGGCAGACGCGGACGTGCTGCTGGTTGGCCCCTCGCGCGTGGGCAAAGAGACGGTCGCGTGTTATTTGGCTCAGCGGGGTGTCAAAGTCGCATGCTTTACAGCCGCTGATGAACGAGCACCACCAGCTCTCTCGAGCGTTGACCCAAGGAAAGTTGTCTTTCTCACGATGTCTTGCGAATTTCTCTTGAGGCGAAGGGAGAACCAGGTGCAGCAGTTGAAGCGCATGGGCCTGCCAGCATTCTACGACGCAGGCTACACGAATTGTCAGCTCATCGAGAATGAGCTCGACTCCGTGGTGCGGATGGCGCACAATCAGCGTGGTTCGATTGGGCCCATCGACATTTCAGATTACGACATTGTTGAAGTCTGCGACATTGTGTTAAGTGCTCTCAAGCACGCTTCGATTGAAGCTTCAAGCGAGACCGTGCGAGTATCATAATACTGTGACCGGCCCGCTTGCACGCCGTATCGAGATCCATGAAGTGCATCCTGAGGTTGGAAGCCTTCTCGGGAGGACGCCAACGCATAAGGTATCGTAGACGCCTACGGCGAATCACTGACGGCCCCAATGCCTGTGTGGCGAAATGTCGAGCGAGAGTGCGGCCATGCTGGTGGACGGCGTGTTCCCCCAGCGCTTGGCGGAACAATTGTGGGAACAATGACGGGGAGGTTTTTGGAGTCATTTCCGAGCTCTCTTGGGATTCTTTCTGGGCTAGGGCTGGATCTAAGCGCTGTTTTGCTGGACTTCGGCTGTGTTTTGTTTTTCTGTTTTGGCAGGGAGGTACAGGAAAACAGGTCGAGCAAAACGAAAAACCAAACGAACACAAAACGAACAACAACGTTTAGGTCCAGCCCTGCCTTTTTGGAGATGTTTCGAGCTCTCTCAGGATTCTTGCTGGGCGATTTGGGCTTTCTTGGTGGCCTCTTGGGGCTCTCTTGGGCCACGCTGGAACTCCCCCGAGCAGGCTTCAACAACTCCTCGGGCCGTCTGGAGTCGTCGGGAAGTCGTCGCGACAGGGCAGTGGTGCTCGTAGCGCGCGACCTGCGACCCGGTGCCAACTCCTGCTGCTTACAGCGGTGGTGACATCTTCTTCTCGGAGGGCTGCAGTCTTGCCTGCTGGGCCTTGTGGGCCAAATTCACGGCGAAGTGCAGTCCCCAGAGGTTCGTCCAGGCGCCTGTGTCGACGACGCCTAACCAGCCACCTGGTAGATCGGCGCGCGCCAGGTAGCACGGCGACTCGTTCGACGAGCTCGAGCCCGTGCCCGACGAGGTCAGCCACCACAGGAAAGTTGGCCCGCATGGTGGCATGTGCACGTCCACGTGGGCGTAGCAGTGCGCCGCCGTGTCCACTGCGGACGCGAAGCTGTACCTGGACGCACTGCTCGGCGACTGCATGAGGCGAGGTCTTGCGAGGGCGTCCCCCGAGCAGGGATTTGCCGGGGAGACACAGCGCGATCCTGCCGTGGCGGGGTCTCTCCCGGCACGCCCTTGTTTGTTGCCGCGCGGGCCGACGCCACAGGCACCAGACCCGTCGGTGCGCGATCTGCACCAATACAGCAATACAGCAGAAATCGGCGATCAGGTTGGCCGGGCCTCGGCGCGCCGGGCAGTGCACCGAGCGGGCGTCTGTGTTCTGCAAGGCCTCGAGGCAAATCGGACACTCACTGTCATTGCTTGTGAAAGCTGCGACTGAGGGCGGCTCGGCAGGCACTGCGGCCAGCACAGGAAGATGATTAACAGGGGTTTCTGTCGAACTCTGTGTCGTCGCTGCTCTCCCTGCTCCCATACGACCTCGAGCGCCAGTTGTGTGTGTGTGTGTGTTGTGGAGCTCGTCGAGGTGCCGTCGACGTGCATGGTCGAGGGTGGTGCCCACGTTGTGCTCGCATCGGCCGCCGCTGGCCATCCAGGCCTCGCCGCCAGCGAACCACGTGACCACTCTCCCAGACGGTTGTCTCACGTCGACGGGGCTGTCCGAGTTGAACAGAGCCAGCTTCTGGGGAGACTCCAGCACTCGCGGTGACGTGATTACAGGTGCGGGCAGCGGTGGCCACGTGGAGCTCGATCCATATGGGGTGCTGATGCAGAGACTGAAGGCATGCATGCCCAGCTCGGCAACTGCGTGTCGGCAGGCGGGGCTGGGGCGCGGCGACTCGTGCGTTGATGTCGCCTGGCTAGTCGAGCCCTTGAGCTTGCCCCAGTGTGAATGCACCACCCACTCTTGGCGCTGAGTCCTGCACGCGGGTCATGACTTCTGTCATCTCCCGGCATAGTCTTCGCAGCTCGGCGTCGCGAGGGTCGGGAGGGGACGAAGAAGAGGATGATGTACCAACCCAGCTTGACCACTGGCTGTGGCCGACTGGCTGCCAAGAGCCGTCTTCCGACTCACTTGGAGCGGCTGTTGCCGCTGGCCGCGGTGCTGCTGCTGGAGTCGGCTGTCCGCCGTCCCAGGGGCCAGCGCTCTGCGCGGGATCGCTCTCCCCGGTGTCCTGGAGGTGCCCCTGGTCATCCATGCCGCGCGCGCTCCTGGCGCGGGCTGCTGCCCGGTTGGGCCTGGCGGCCCGTGCTGTCCCAGCAGCGTGAGTGGTGCAAATGCTGGCGGTGATGATGGTGCCGGGGCGTAGGCGTTAAGGAAGAGAGCGCGCCCTTGGTTGCGGCGCCGGGGGCTGTCGCGCACGAGGCGCTGCTCAGAGTCACACTCGCGGCACTTGAGAGGCACCCCATCAGGACCCATGGTCTCGGTGGCCCGAACCCACGCCACTGGTTCTGAACCTCCCTCTTCCTTCACCCTTGACCTTCCTGGAGCTCGCGCGCAAGCTTCCCGGAGGTGGTTCTCGGACATGTCGGCCAGGAAGGCGCGGTAGCCCTTGCCTTGGCCCTTGCCCTTTCGTTCGATGGCCCTCCGGACGCGGCGCGCGGGCTTGCGGTTGTTGAAGCTGCGCCAGCGTGCCTTGGCGCGCTTGCAATAGCGGAAGAGGTGCGTACCGCGTTTTTCCACGTCGCGTAGTCAGGGATCGTCTGCGGCAGTGTCCTTGCCGAAGGAGCTGATGGAGTCAACGTCGGTAGTTGAATCAACGCTTGCTGCTGGGAATGCCCCCCTGTGCTGGTGACGCCGTGCTGGTGTTGCCGACTGCTGCTGGTGCAGGTGGGCTTGGTGCCGATTCCAGTGCAGCTGGACCCGTGCCATCCCAGCTCGATCCGGCTACGGCGCCGCATGCACCCTGAACATGATTTTGCGCGGACGTTTGGCCATCCCTGGATCATATGCCCAAAGCGCTGCAGCTGGCCCGCCATGTGCGTGAGCTTCTGGGTGTTCGTGCGGTAGGCCATGTTGTAGTGCTGTATGATCATGGTCAGTTGGATGTTCGGCACTCCAACGGCGCGCAGCAGAAGGAAGCTGAGGCCCTCGTGGCCGATCATGGGTTGACCAGCTTGATGCGTTCGGTTGCGAAGGATGTCGAATCGCGTGAGGAGGTTGTCGGTGCGCCCTTACTGCAGCCTGTTGAAACTCAGAAGTGCCGACGCTGCCGAAGTGCGCCTCCTCGCCCAGTTGGCCCCACCGTGCGACCAAATTGTGCATCAGGGAGGTCATCGGTGACACTGGGTTGCCGTTGATGACACCTCCCTGGATCAGGACAGCCGGCGGCCATTCGTCCGCGCGCTCGCGCGCCATGCCAGCGAGGCGCGACGAGACGCATGCCGCGGCGAAATTCGCTGAGGTCCGATTTCGCCACTGACCAGATCATCGCATCCCGCGCCCATTCCTGGAAGGGCACGCGAACTTGCTGCTCGGCCCCCAGGCTCAGAGGCGTCGCATGTGGCCGTTGCCTCCGCCTGCGCCCATGCAGGAGATGCAGCTTGTGAGCGCAATCGTACCCATTCCGCTGGCCTTCCATCCGGAGTGTTGCTCCCTCCGCGAATCGTAGAGGCGTGAATGCTGGTGATCCACCCGCCGGCTCTGCTCGGGAAGTGCGCCTCCGAGCCGCCGTTGATACTTGCTCCGGACGTGTTCCTCCTCGTCTGCGCATTGGGCGTATGGTGCTCTCGGTACTCGGAGCGTCCCGCGTCGCAGTCGCGGGAATGCTCCTCGCGCGTCGTTTTGTCAGCGTGCTGAACGAAGCCAACGGCACGATCGTCATGAGGAGTGCGCATCGGGACCCAGTCCTGCCAGGCTGCAGGGAATGAGTGAGTGAGGTGAAAGGTCGCGTTCCAAGGGGCAGAACTATGGTTCTCCCAGTTCCGACTTGCTGTTCCTCGGAGTGCTGGCTACGCAGTCGCCAGACCCTCCATTGCCTCCCCGCTCTTTTCTGCCTTCTCGTTAGGGGTCTCGTGGTGTAGTCACTAGAAGCTTGGGGCCCTTAACTGACGCCGTGAATGTGAACGCTGTGTCGAGCAACTGTCTGACATTTGCGGCTGCGCCCGCAGTCTGGTGCATTGACAGCGCGGGGTCCCCGAGCTGCGTTGACATTGTGTACGCAAGCCCGGGAGGGATCGCTGAGAGCTCCGGCGCTCGGCCGGGGCTCTTGTGAGTCTCTGGCCGGTTGAGGTAGGCGTTCGCTTTTCCCGTCGCCGGCCCTGGCGGATGGGCGGACGCCCCGACGGACCCGAGAGCGGCGATGCCTCCTGCCACGGCGAACGGGAAGAAGGCCACGAGAGCAATGTCCAGCGATATGACCAGCTGGATGTAGAGCTGCACAATGTAGAGCGACGGGGAGTTGCAGCCTGCGTTGTCGAAGCGGAGCGAGAACGATGAGCCGTTGCGGCCGTGCCCAGAGTCAGTCCCATGGCGCCTCTGGCCCCGGGGTGGCCGGCCCGCTGCCCGGAAGAGCTGCTGGGGCACGACGTCGCTGTTGGGGCACGGCGTCGTTGGCTTTCCTCTTCGCTTCTGGTGCCCTCCGTGCCCCTGCCCCCAGGGGCCTCCTGGGGTCCCGGGGCCGGGCCACGGCCCGCCGTTGTGGGGCCGGTGCCGCGCGGGGTGGGTGGCCTCCGCGCGCCGCCCAGAGGCCCCCGGCAGCTCTGGCAGGCCGGGGCCTGGCCGTGCGGGTGGGCCGCCCCGCGAGGGAGAGCCGGGCGAGTTCGGCTCCCTGTTCAGCGCTCAGCACCTCCCTTCCCCTTCGTCGCCCCTCCCCCTCGGCCCCCCCGCGCCCCTGGTGGTCGGGGCCCCCGTCGTCGTCGTCGTCGTCGTCGTCGTCGTCGTCGTCGTCGTCGTCGCCCCTGCCCCCGCGGGCGAGCTTCGGTCGCTTTCGGGCCTCAGGGGTCGCAGACCTGCAGGGCGGCCCGCCGCCGAGCCTGCTCGCGCAGCACCCCCGCCGGAGCCTGCGGGGGGAAGCCCGGCGAGGGCGCGCCGGCGCCTGGGGCCCCGCAGAGCCGGGGCCCCGCCCGAAGTGAGCCCCTCGTCGCCCCACGCGTCTCTTCTTCTCTCCCCCGCCCCGCCCTCCCCT